GCTTAAATTAGTCAACAGTACTTTTATTGGTCATTACTGTGAAGTTCCTTGTATTAAAGGTTCAAACACAACTGAACTATAAAGATGAAGTGGTCATTTTTAATATCCGTTTTTGTGATGTACACTGTTCAGGCCTTCACCTTTGACATTTAGCAAGTAAGTGCATCTCCAGTTTGACCTTGTCCTTGTTCTAGACAGTATGTTTTAGCTCCAGCTGTTTCTATGACAACAGCAGTCCAAACTCTCTCTCTTTGTTCCATCCTGTTTGGTTCTAAACAGTAGCAGGACTGCTCTGTCTGATATTATGACATCATAGTCTGCCATTACCCATGCTGTTGGGTTGCATTATGAAGTTTAATGGACAGTGATGAGTCCCCCCCCCAAATACAGGTTTTGTAGATTAGTATTTACTCTGGCTTGTCATAATTCCCTTAAACTCTGATATTTCGCTCTCTTACATCTTTGTCTCTGAGACCTGGAGTCCAGTGGAAATATTTGTCTTTTTGCATATGAAAACTAACTGATAATGTTAATATGAATTATTGAATATCAAATGTGCTTATGAACTGTGTATATACACATACCGCACATACAATATACATATGCATTTTGGTAAATATAAATACAAATAGAGTGTGGTCAGAATAGCTGCATTCTAACTAGTGGTCTCAGTATATAAGCCATAAATCAGTTCCTTATATTTGATTTATTGCTACTTTAAACTTTCAATTTTCAAGAACGATACCTAAGAAACTAATGATCTGAATTGTTCTGTGTGAATATGCAGCTTGCTGATTCTTGAGAAGTGGGACAAAACAGGGTGAAATATTGACAAAGACAAATGAAACTACATTTTTGTATCTTACATGTACTAAGCTACTGAGCTATGCTTTGATTCAACCTCCCAACCTTTCTCTTTTTTATCAAAATGTGCTTTTTACCTTGCCATCATTATTTTGCAATCAAGCAATCAAGATGTTTTTAACATTTCAAAACACATTCATGTTAGCAGAGAGATGACATTTTCACATGTGACCAACAATTCCTCAACAAATATAAAATATCATAGTCTAATATTATCAAAATATTCATCTGATGGGGGTGACCGACCTGACAGAGTTGAAACATCTGACGGTGGTGACGAAAACCTGAATTTAGTAATTTTAACTACTTTACATTGAATCAATCAATTACTGTATTAAAACAAACACAACAAACAGTGAGTATGTTATTGTTTATAAAGCTTTTTTCAAGATTCACATTTAAGTATTTTGATATATCATTGGAACACAAATGATCTATTTTCTCTCATCTCAGAACAGTATGTTTGCTGTGCATCTGCTATGGTAACAACAGGTAAGGTAAAAACAGTTAAAAAAACAGTTAAATGAACAAATAAAACAATTAGTTGTTGCCTCTATCCATTTACATTCACCAGGATCTTAATATTCACATTTAAACATCTTAACAAATGATCCAAAAATGATCAGAAAATATATGATCATATACATTATTAGAGAAATTAAACACTATTTTATATTTAATATAATTAAAAATGACTTGAAAACACACAAATATGATGACCTTTACGTTGAATGTCAACTCATTGATGTACTCTGCAGAGGTGGAATGTGGCAAGGGGGTCGTTTAGACTGACGGCTGCCCCTGATATTACCTGATTTTATTACATTTTAATGTCTGACGTTGTTGACAAAAAGCAGGGACAACTTACAACTTTAAAACTTTATGAAACAAGCATGTGTCCTTAAAAATAACCTTGCTTTGATATGAGATATTATTAAGTGTTGCTTTTGATAAAACAAGCTCTTTTTCATTAAAAAAAGAAAAAAAAAAAAGATCCATTTTATAGCATATCAATTATTGAACTCTTCTCTGTGGACACTGTTTTAGATATAGTGAGAAGACAATAAGTGTCATAGATTTGATTTATTAATGATAACATTTAACTGAAGGGGATAATTGTGTTAAATACATTCTATTATTAATCCCTCATAACATTTACAATTGAAAATATTTTCATTTTTAAACCTAATTGCAGTTACAATTGCTGGACATGTTTTGTCTCAAGAATCAGTGAGCTGCATTTTGGGAAATCAGTCTTATAAAACACCACTAGAGGTCGCCTGCATCACATGTCAACAAGCTTAAGGAGCAGTGCAGATGCAACATTGCAGAAATTACAGTTACTGGAACATTTTATTTACAAGATAGATAGATAAAAAAATGTTGTTCATTTACCAGAAGTCTGGTGGTCCAAGACAGACAGACAGACAGACAGACAGATAGATAGATGGATAGATAGATAGATAGATAGATAGATAGATAGATAGATAGGCAATCCATGTTAAATGAAATGTGTAATGATATTTTGTGCTTTAAGTCTTTCAGTACATACTTATCATGAATGATTAGACAGAGCTTAACCAAAACGTTTATTTTAGAGTAATTACTGTTAGAGGACTCACTTTTAATTCAATTGGAATGACAAGTTACAGTGACATTTTACTTTTACGAGATCATTTATTATTATTATTATTATTATGATTATATGACAATAATTTAATTCTCAGTGCAGATCTCTGGTCCGTAAATCTTCAAATCTTCAAGTGAGCATGAATTCACCTGACTGGCACCCAGTCCTAGAAGAAAGAGAAAAGAGGATGTGTTGAAACAGCTACAGTTCACAGAAAGAGAGGCAAGTCAAAAATGCTGTAAAGAACATAGGCATCCAGCTGTTATATTCTCTCAGCCATTGTACTTAGCAGAAGTTCATTTAGCAGCTGCAGGCATGTGAGATTCTGAAGCTGAAATTATGTTGCTCTATTTAGCCAAAAAAGTATTTTGTGTATTTCAGATTAAATTAAATTAATCAACTATTATAACCATTAAATTTTTATATTGACATGCATTGATGGATCAGAAATCAAATAAAATAAAATCACTGTAAAATAATCTACTAGTCTGTGCTGAGCCTTTGTTGCATGAAATATGATGTAACCGTTATTCTGTAGCATCCC